CATTTCCATTAACAGTTGTTATGGTAACAGAAACATTTCCATTAATAGTCGCTATGGTAACAGAAACATTTCCATTAACAGTTGTTATGGTAACAAACATATTTTTACAGTGGTAATAGTTACTGAAGCAGTTTATTAAGACTTGTCAAAGTTACTGTAACACTCATCCTGAAATATTTTTAACTACACTTTTGTTGGGGTAGCAATGTTTTTTATTCAAACTTGTTTCACTGATAACTGATCAGAACAATTCCAGTAAAATTTCTGTTCAAATGATCAGCTTCACAGTTTCCATGACAGTTTCTGTAACTTTACTAACATTATTGTAACCCATGTTATTTCCACGTTTCTCGTCGTTACGGATCACATCTGGAGGCTTGTTCACAAAGCTCAGGTCTGAGTTACTATGGAAACAAAGACGACACAAACATAAGTACAACTTACTGGAAACAAATAATAAATACACACAGGACCGACCTAACAAATGAACACATATTCTGTGGAACATCTATACAAGGAGAGTTATATAGCGGAATAGCATAGGAATTCAGTTTAATCATGGCCTGCCAAATTTGTCATCTAAGCTTTGACAAAACAAGTATACCCTTTGTGCACGTCAGTAAAACTAACAACTTTCAAAATACTTCAAACATACAGTAATAGATCATACTGGCATCTAACATAAAAGAGTGACTTCCCTTGATCTTATACTCAAATCATGTCATTAGAACATAATGGGTTATCCCCCTTTATCTAGATATCAACTTACTTTCTTGGCTTCTCTGGAGGTTCTGAAAAGAAACAAGGATTACAATCATTAAAGGTGTGTTAATTGAATTGTTATCTCTCGTCAAAGACCTTTTTTTTCTCTCTCTGAATTTTAACTTTTTTCTTCTTTTTTTTAATTATAAAGTAAGATTTGTCCTACTTTGAAAACTGCTCAAAATACAGATAAAATACAGAATATAACAATTGACAAAATGTTCCTTAAGCTTCATATAGTTAATCACTTTTCCTGTATATGCTGAGATGTTTCCTTCAGGAAATCTCTCACTAGTTACTAGGATGTAGGACTAACAAAATGATCTCTTCAACTAGTACTGTGGACTACCTACAAACACTGGTCAGTGTCTTACCCTACACAGGAGTGACAGATTCTATTTATCGTGTAACATGCACAGGTTTGACAGATAACAGATCTAGTCTATTTATATCACCATATCATAGGTGATAAATATATATATTTATTCATCGTAACCCGTTAGGTAGGCAATTTTAAGACGCTTCCTCCGGGCTGACCTTACCTTCGATACTCTTGTTGGCGTTTCTACGTTTGAGACAAATAAAGGCAACGACGGCTACGACAACGATGACAACGACGACAATGACGATGATGACGATGATGATGGTCGTGCTGAGTCCTTCTGCTGTAGTAACAATAACAGTGATTACATAGCCAATCAAGATCACCCGATCTACTTGTTTAGATTTATAAATTACTCAGCATGTTGAAAAGCCCTACCAGGAACATAACATTGTCCCCAACAACTCTGTTACCATGCAATTATAAATCGTCACAAGAAAAACAAAATTCCAATCTTTTGAAGATTTCTATCAGTTTTGGTTTATTAAATAATCAAAATACACATGAATGACAGTTAACGAACCCAAATAATGTATGATGATAAAATAAGTCTCCAGGTGTTTACAGCTTCATTTGATGAAGAATAATGATTTCTGTTTGTTTGTATTAAGAACCACATTATTATGTACAGTGTATATAACAAGTTTACCTTCAGCATCTATCTGAATCACCACAACATTGCTATATGTAATAGATATTGGTATATACAGTGAATTTCAATACTTTAACGCTGGTCTGATTCCAATAGGGCAGATCCAACTGTATCATGTTCTACGATAAAAGTGCACATCTTTATCATTATAATCGGCTATATGTAGATATTGATAATTCAACAATCAAACAGTCTTTTGCATGTAAAAGCAATGGAGTACATACATTTTCTTTCAAACGTTATGTCAAAATTGTCTTTATTACTGTAAAGACACATTTTACAAAAATAGAAATGTCAAAACAACATTAAATTTGTGACTATCCTATTCATTAAAACCAAAATTTGTTTAAAAAGTTCTAACATTTATTTAAACAACAAAATTAAAACATCATTTGAATGTTGTGAGTGATTGACTGGTCACTATGGTACCAAACGTCAGGGTTTATTTAAATGAGAAAATAAAGTTATGAAGCCGAGTATTGTATGTGCGTATATGATAATGTAACAATAACTTGTAGATCTGATTACACAAGTCTACTTACGATCGTCCTCGGTCTGGGGTGCCTGGGTGCCGCCTCCTCCTGTGGGGTCTACAGATGGAACAGGAGTGGTTGTAGTGGGGGTAGTGGTGGGTTGTGTTTCTGTAGAGAAGGGAGGTAATAGATGTCCAGAATCATGCAGAAAACTCACCTCTCTCAGCCATGTTATAACACATCTAGATCTCAGGCCCAACAAACAAATATACTGTTTCTCGTGTCAATAATTTTTTTGTTTCATCAAATAGCAGTAGCTTTTCCCCAGAAATTTCATGATATATTTACTTCAGCTTTTGCCATTTTCAAAAAAGTTCAGATTAAATATTTTGATATTTTTTGCTGAAAATCCAAAATTGTAGATTGTATATTCAATGAAAGCCTCCAAAACGAGGATCTTAACATGTCAATTTAACAGCTTTGTCACCATTTACCAATAGATATTAAATACTCATAAAAATTTAAAAAATATTATAGACCAAGTTGAAAGCTCCCATATTTTTGTTTTCTTCAAATATATTTGCCATATATCATTCATTCATATTCTTTTGAAGAATTTTTAAGAAAATCTTTGATAGTTAAGTAAGAAAACAGTAGGTTTGTCTGGTTTGACCTCGTGTAGATAAAACATGGAATCTCTTGTGTAAGACGACAGACAGCAAATAACATATCTCTGATGGCTTTATGTATTGTTATGTCATATTACTGATGGAACTTTAACCCTTTCACCCCTAGGTAACTTTAGTAGACTCTACCATG